ACCAAGGATGCACAAAATTGTATAGAGAAATTGAACTATTTGTGACAGATGTCATAGTGCATATAAGTATATGGAGAGATATTTGTGACCGTGAATTAGAAGATTCAATATGTACAAATGTCAATCTTCCAACAGGTCTTCTAGTGACCTATAGATTTAATGTAACCCTATCCCAAATTTTAATGTAGTGCTGTGGGCAGGATGAGGGGGAGGGACATTACACAGCTATTTTAATTAAAATACTGTGCTGTTGATGCTGGAGTAGAAACATAGACTAATGGAAATGAATATAGAGAGGTCAGAGAAGGACATACACATATATGGAAACTTCACATATGTTGATATAAAAATATCCAAAAAATTTATATATGTATATATAGTATAACATATATTATTGTATATATATAGTATATATATATGTATAGTATAGTATATAGTATATATTGTAGTATTGTATACTACAATTGTAGTATTGTATAGTATAGTACATAGTATTATAGTATATATTATAGTATTGTATATACTATAGTATATAGCATTATAGTATAGTTAACTATACTATATATACTATACTGTACATATAGTAAACTTTTGTATATGTCAAAGCATCAACTGCAGGAAAAAAAAAAATGGCAAGTCTTTTTCAAAGAGACCTCTAGAGGGTGAGGTAGTGAAGGGTATTCAGAAAGTGGAAAGACACTCATAGAAAGAGATGTGATATACTTGTGATAAGAGGGAGATTATGAAACAGGAAAATGTGAATTGCATTCTCAATGTTTTTCTAGTCAAAATATTTTTTAATTGGATTAAATGGTAATACAAATATTATGAATATTTAATCATTAAGGCAGGCCTTAATTTTCTAATGTATTTTACTTCAAATGCACAAAATTTAAAAATATATCATTTGATCTTTTAATTTTTAATGTTAATTTTTAATTGCAAGTTTTAAATTTATAAAACCATACATGACCCAGTCACAATGCATACTATAGGCCTTCAGATTTAATTGTACATGCTTTGAAATTCTCTCCTTGACCCGACTATTATAGGTTTGAAAAGAGAACTGTAGGAATAATATCAACTAGGCCCTCAGTTATAAACATAAAAGCACAGGAATAAGAGGAGAGAAGGGACTAGGGAGAGAGAAGAGCAGGTTTATTTCATTTAAATGGGAAATGATGGAATTTCAATGAATGGTAATGAGAAAGTGGGATTTCCTACCTTGTACAATATTTTCTTTTTTTTTTTTTTTTACAACATTGTACAATTACCACCTTTAGTGAGTTCTAAAATATTTTCATCACCCCCAAAGAAAATCTCATACTCAATAAGCAATCGCCCTCTATTTCCGCCCCCCAGCCTATCCCATGGAAACCACCTCTCTGCTTTCTGACTCTATGGATTTACTTATTCTGCTTATTTCATATGCAATATGTGGCTTTTTGCGTCCGGCCAGTTTCACTTAGCATGTTTTCAAGGTTCATCCATGTTGTAGCATATGTCAGCACTGCATTCCTCTTTATGGCTGAACAATTCCTTTGTATGTATGTATCATATTTTGTCTATCTACTCATCCCTTTACAGACTTTTAGCATGTTTTCTCCTTCTGGTTATTGCAAATTGTGCTACTATGAACATATGTGTACAAGTACTTGCTGAGTGTTTTCAGTTCTTTTGAGTATATAGCTAAGAGTAGAAATGTTGGGTCATAAGGTAATTTTATGTTTGCCTCTCTGAGGATCTACCAAAGCATTTTCCAAACTGGCTGCACCATTGTACATTTTTAACTTGTATGAGGGTTCCAATGTTTCCACAACTTATTATTATTGTTTTAATTATGGTCTTCCTGGTGGATGTGAAATGATATCTCACTGTGGTTTTGATTTGCACTTCCCTAATGACTAATGATGTTGAGTATCTTTTCACATGCTTGGCCATTTTATATACATCTTTGAGGAAATGTCTGTTTAGGTTCTTCACCCATTTTTAAATTGGATTGTTTTTATGTATTCTGGATACTAGACCCTTGTCAGTTATATAATTCACAAATATTTTCTCCCAATCTGTGGGTTGTCTTTTCACTTCATCAGTATTCCTTGATGCACAAATGTTTTTAATTTTGAGGAAGATCACTTTATTTTTTCTTTTGTTGCTTGCACTTTTGGTGTCATACCTAAGAATCTATTGCCAAAACCAAGGTCAAAAAGATTTACCTCTATGTTTTCTCCTTTAGTTTTATAGTTTTGGTCTTAGATGTAGCCCCTTTTTAGGTGTATGTTTATTAAATTTATTCTATAGATGACTTTATGTGTTTTATCAATCTGATACTCTTTTCAGTTTTATGTTCTGCTTAATTACTATGTTTAATATTTTTAAAAATTTTTAATTCCAGTATAGTAAACATACAGTGCCATGTTAGTTTCAAGTGCACAATATAGTGAGTCAATAATTCTATACATTACTCAGTGCTCATCATAAGTGTACTCTTAATCCCCTTCACCTATTTCACCCATCCCTCCACCTACGTCCCCTGTGGTTACCATCTCTTTGTTCTCTATAGTTGAGTCAATTTTTTTGTCTATTTTTCTTTTGTTCATTTGTTTTGTTTCTTAAATTCCACATATGAGTGAGATCATATACTATTTGTCTTCCTCTGACTATTTCACTAAGCATTTTACCCACTAGATCCATCTATGTTGCTGTGAATGGCAAGATTTCATTTTTATGGTTGAGTCCTATTCCATTTAATATATATTTATATATAAATATGAATCACCTCTTCTTTATCCCCTCATCTATTGGTGGACACTTGGGCTGTGTCCATAATTTGGCTATTGTAAAAAATGCTATTATAAACATAGGGGTGAATATATCCCTTTGAATTAGTTGCATTTTTGTATTTGTGGGGTAAATACCCAGTAGTGTGATTACTGGGTAGTAGGATATTTTTATTTTTAACTTTTTGAGGAACCTCCATACTGTTATCCACAATGGCTCCACCAGTTTTCATTCCCACTAACAGTGCACTAGGTTTCTGCTTTCTCCACATTCTCACCAACACTTGTTCCTTATGTTTTTGATTTTAGCCACTCTGACAGATGTGAAGAGATATCTCCTTGTGGTTTTAATTTGCATTTTCCCGATGATGAGCAATGTTGAGCATCTGTTCATGTGTCTGTTGGCCATCTGGATGCCTTTTTTGGAGGTATGTCTATTCATGTTTTCTGCCCATTTTTAATTGGGTTATTCATTTTTTGAGTGTTGAGTTGTATTAGTTATATATGTGTATATATATGTGTGTACGTAAGTATATATATATATTGATATTAGCCTTTTATCAGTTAAATCATTTGTAAATATCTTCTCCCATTCAGTAAGTTGCCTTTTAATGTTGTTGATTGTTTCCTTTGCTGTGCAGAACCTTTTTAATTTGATGTAGTCTCAGTAGTTTTGTTTGTTTGTTTTGCTTTTGTTTCCTTTGCCTCAGGAGACATATCTAGAAAAAAATGTTGATATGGCTGATGTCAGAGAAATCACTGCCTGTGCTGTCTTCTAGAATTTTTATGGCTTTAAGTATCACATCTAGGTCTTGAATCCATTTTGAGTTTACTTTTGTGTATGATGTAAGAAAGTGGTTCAGTTTCATGTCTTTGCATGTAGCTGTCCAGGTTTCCTAACACTGCTTGCTGAAGAGATTTTTTTCCCATTGCATATTCTTGCCTCCTTTATTGAAGATTAATTGACTATTAATCATGGATTTACTTCTGGAATCTCTAATCTGTTCCACTGATCTATGTGTCTATTTTTGTGCCCATACCATACTGTTTTGGTTACTACAGCTTTGTAGTATATCTTGATATCTGGGATTGTGATACCTCCAGTTTGTTCTTCTTTTTCAAGATTGTCTCATACTATATTTTCAAATGTCACTTCCCCCTGTGAATTATGGCCTATAAAAAGTTAAAACTATAAATATTTTAGAAATACAGGGAAATATTTTTATAAACTCAGAGTATTATCATTCATTTTAGCCAGAAAGCACCAAAACAGAAAAAGAAAAGATATTTTAATTCAATTACACTAATGTTAAAGATTTGTGTTTATCAAAAGACACCTCAAAGAGAAGAAAAAGATAAGCTTATCAGAAAATATTTACTGCATATAAAACTGGTATGAGCTAGTTTTCAGAAAATATAAAGAAGTTTTATGAATCAATGAAGAAAGGGCAGATAAGTCAATAGAAAAATCGTCAAAAGAGTTGAATAAGCACTTGCAAAAAGACAAAACTCCAAGAGTCAAAGATGTATGAAAAGTTGCTTGCCACGATAGACAAAAAGGCAAACTAAAGCCACAGAGAGATACCATTAACCATTCATAAATTTGAGAAATATTAAAATGTCTGACAGTACCAAGTGTTGATAAAGATGTAGGGCAAAAGGAGGTCTCATATACTGTTGGTGGAAGTGTTTCATGAGGCCATGAGGTTGGAAAAACAGTTTGTAATTACCAAGTAAAATTGGAGATGTACATATTCTACAGCCCAGTAATTTGTTTTCTAGGTATGTCTCCCAGAGAATATCTTGTATGTTAGCCCAGGGACACGTGTATCTGGATGTTCACAGCACAAGTTAGGAAGCAACCTAAATGTTTATAAGCCGGATAAATGTGGTCTATTAATGTAGTAGATTGTCAAACAAAACCGACAATAAAAGAACTATACCGTCAGGTTGGATTGGGTTTGAGTTGCGTGTCAACTGATAACAATATCCTAGTGGCTTAAATGCATTACAAATGTTTAAGTGTAGCAGATATTTTGGGGCCACTGACCAAGGGAAGAAAAACATAAGGATGTGGGTAATGGAAATATAACAGGCTGAGCCCCAATTAGCATAGTCTCTGAAATATCAGCCTCCTTTCTTTCCTCAAACCATGTCTCTCAAATCCAGGTGATTGCCAAAGGTTTACAAGCTTTTTCATTACGAGCATCAACTGTTAACCTGCTGTTCCTCCAGACCTCAGGTTTGATGAAAGTGTACTCCAAATCTGTTGGTTTTCACCTTTGCTGCTGTGGTAATATCTGAGAGTCACTGCTCTCGTGTGGACAGCCTCTCACTGCAGGTTTTTCTTGCCCTGACAGGAAAAGAAAACAGGAAGGAAACTCCAAGAAGCTAGTGTTGACAGTGCACATGACAGGGGACATTCCTCTTTATTTCCCACATTTTTGGGGACACACTCTCCTGCTCTTGTCTCTTCTCACCAACTTACTCTGAAGCTAATGGACTTTAAGCATCAAGACCCCTTCATTTGCACAGGTGTCTTCAAAAGGTCTGGAAAGAGCCCTAGCAGTGTGTTCACATGATTATATGTCTTTATAAAATTTGCAAAACTAATGTATGTAAACAGGAATGAGTTGAGACCACTCACTGTCTATTTCCTCCCTGACACACCCTTCAGAAAACTTCAGCTCATGTTGAGTGACATTACAACAGCTCAGAGCATTTTTGATACTTGGTTGAGGGGAAGTTGAACTGGGAATACACTAAAAAGATTTTAGGTGGGAGGGGTGCCTGGGTGGCTCAGTCAGTTAAGCCGCTGACTTTGGCTCAGGTCATGATCTTGCACTCCGTGAGTTCGAGCCCCATGTCGGGCTCTGTGCTGACAGCTCAGAGCCTGGAGCCTGCTTTAGATTCTGTGTCTCCTTCTCTCTCTGCCCCTCTGCCTCTCACGCTCTCTCTCTGTCTCTGTCAAAATAAATAAACATTAAAAAAAATTAAAAACAAAAAAAAGATTTTAGGTTGGAGACGCTTGGGTGGCCCAGTCGGTTACAACGAAGACCCATTTCTGTTCAGGTCATGATCTCGTGGTGGGTAAATTCAAGCCCCACATCCGGCTCTCTGCTGTCAGCACGGAGCCCGCTTCAGTCTTCTCTGTCTCTCTCTGTCTCTCTATCTCTGTCCCTTTCCCACTTGTTCTTCCTCTCAAAAATAAATAAACATTTAAAAAAAAAAAGATTTTAGTTGGATATGGATAAATATCAATTTCTCTCTATCTATCTCTCCATCCATCCATCTGACTAGATATAATTACATAATAGATATAAATAATTATATAATAGATACAGCTAAATAAAGATAAAGATAGAGATGGGGAAGAGACAGATATTGCTTGTAGTCATTTCTGGGCAAGGTTAAGTTATTGCTAAGCATCCATGTGTAGTAATGGCTTGTAGGAATATTCATCTTGGCCACTGTGCTGAGTCAATGGTAAGAACACAAGTGACCGCCAAGAGTTTATATTATGATTCGAACATATATTATTGTGTTAAACACCCAAATCACATAAATACAGGGAGAGAAATCAGGCTGAAACACATGCAACCAGAGCCTGGTCTGTAGAAATCTTTCTGACCGTTCATGTATGAAGAAATCTGATGGAAATGTTCCTAAATTTGTCAACAATCCCAAAAGTTTGCATGATATTACTGATAATATATTATAAAACTAAAATTTCTCTCATAGTATCAGTACGTGTTTAAATTTTTTGACTAAACGTGTGTAGGGGAGGAAAAAGTATTCTTCCACCCTCTTGCGGGCCCCGACGGGGTTTGAAAATTAAATTGACAATGACAGATAAACAGCAGAAGAGCACACAAATGTATTTAATATGAGTTTTGCCTGACACAGGGGCCTTCGTTAGGGAATGGAAACCTCAAGAGATGGTTAGATCAGAATATTTTATGCTAGGTTTGATAAGGGGTGAGCAGTTGTATAGAAATATGATAGGTTAAGGAGTATGGGATAAGTGCAGTGTGCTGGCAAAACTTAACAAAGTGGTTTGTGAGGTTCTCCTTGGCATCCTTTTGTCTTCAGAGATAAGGACACGTCTTTCCTCCAGGTGTTGGGAGGGCACCTCTTTCACGAGGGTTGTATGACCTGTTTCAGGAGAGAAGGGCTGGGAAGGTCAGATTGACATTCTTGCTTCTGCTATTTTTTTAAAGTTTTTCACCTTAAAATACTCCATATGCTGGGGTGCCTGGGTTGGCTCAGTCGGTTAGGCATGTGACTTCAGCTCAGGTCTGGATCTCGCAGTTCATGAGTTCCAGCCCTGCATCCGGATCTGTGCTGACAGCTCAGAGCCTGGAGCTTGCTTCAGATTCTGTGTCTCCGTCTCTTTCTGCCTCTCTCTCTCTCTCTCTCTCAAAAATAAACAAACATTAAAAAATTAAAAAAAAAATACTCCATATGCCAAGGTGCCATATTTTGAGGTAACTGATCCTCAACCCAATCACATGAAAGGAAGAGGCACTCAAAGAAGATGCAATGAAAATATGTAGAAAAAATGACACAAAGATGGCTGGCGATTAAAAATGGTTATGTTTTCTGTATTTTGTGGTACTCGTTAGCTCTTTAAGATGGATATTTTGTTTTGTTTTTATTTTCTCATCTCAATAAATACTTACTTTTATACCTAATTTTATATATTTTTAAATTTGCTTTTTCTCTGAGGTACCCACAAAGTACATATGCTTCAGGCTCAACGAAACCTGTTTGTGTCCCTGCCTGTGTTATATTTTCCAAGGAAGATGCTGCAGAGGTCGGCCCTCACAAGAGGCATCATTCTGGAAGGACATTTTTAGGGCCCCTCTTTTGGAGCCCTTTCCACATAAAGGCAAACATATAAACGTGAGCCTTACCCTGTGGAATTTCAGTCCCTGGTTGATGGACCTGTGTATATTGCCCCTCAATTTCTTTTCTCACGTGCACATTTCTTTCTTCTTCTTTTTCCACTTGTGCAGCTTCCTCTCACTCTTCTACGCACTTCCTCTTGGTAGTACCTGATCCAGAGTTTCTGGTACTCACCACTCTGCATCGTCTGTGAGACATCCCATGCCACCGCTAGAAGATTGTACCGCGCAAACCCCAACCCTCCTCATCGAAGATGGTTTTATACTTCAAACTTCAAAGAAACAACTTATGAAACCCTTCTTCCACATTTCCCTTTGTCTGGAATCCTACTGCTATGAGTGTCTCGGGTCATATTGCTGTCCTGATCAGAGCAAGGAAATTCAGAGAAACCCCGTGCCTCCAGCGGCTCTCCTGAGAAAGGGCAGGGAAACCTTCGATCAAAGTGGGGTGTAATAGAGAAATCAATGTTCTCTGCCAGTGGACTTGACCTAACCTATGGAATTATAAAAGAAACAAAAACATTGCTTTGTTATTTTAATTCAATTACTGCCTGGTTTAAATGATATTCTGTGAACTAACAGGAAATTTAACCACCATCCTCGACTTTGTCTTTAAGGCAAATTGTGCTTTTGCATTACGCATAGCTGGCTTAATAAATGATTGTTGGGACACAAACTGTTGGTGCATTGAGTAAACAAACTATTTCTTTCCCGTTTGTGAAACTAAAACTCTCTTCCCCTATTTCTGTAATTGGAGCCGGTTGCTGGGTAAGCCATCACACTATCTATCACCTAGGCTTCACTATGGCTAATTATTAAAATGAATCCAAGTACATGGTATTTACCATCCCTACCCCACCTTTATTTCTTTTCTAAAGTGCAAGTGAGCCCTTACAAGGCTCACTTAATTTCTGCAAGAAGTTTCAGAAGCTGTAAGAACTCTCATTCCCTCTCCACTGTTGTTGCTTCCAAGGGTCACCCATTGTTTCTGTTTAAAGGAGCCATAATTTGAGGGGCATCTGGGTCTCTCAATTGGTTCAGCATATGACTCTTGATTTCAACTCAGGTCATGATCTGTCAGTTCATGAGTCCAAGCCCTGCCAGTGTGGAGCCTGCTTGGGACTTTCTCTCTCCCTCTCTCTCTGCCCTTCCCCTGATCTCTCTCTCTCTCTCTCTCTCTCTCATAATAAATAAAAAAAAAAACTTTAAAAAAGTATCCATAATTTAAGATGCAGTGCAGGAGCTCAGTGGAAGATCCATATCTGACCTAGAGCAGGTGCCCTGAAAAGACAGAGACCACACCCTCCACACATGGCATGAGTCTCCATTCAAGTTTTCCAAAGCTGCCTTTAGTTCCCCATTTCCTCATGGCCCATTGGTTTTAATTCAAGGATGTAGAACTAAGCCTTAGGGTAACACTAGACCAGTGCTGCTCCAAATGTGGTCCTCAGACCAATGCTGCTCTGCAAACTGTTGCCAGTCAATGACAGCAGAAATACAGAAACTGAGAGTTCGCACGAGAAAACACTTACAGTCAGCTTACGCTGCAGTACAATGGCACATCCAAGCACATAATCAGTGAACTCATTTCCTTAAACAGGGAATACCCAGTTTGGATGTTACCAAACTCGCCTGTTGAGTTACATGTGATGTGAGGGGCAAGCTGGCCGGGCACCAGTGAGACTATGCATTGGTCTATGAGAGAGAGATCAGAAGCATAAAAACATATTTTTAAGAGCTAGTTCTTCATGACAGTTTGAAAAGCTTTGGTTCAGGGTACTGAGAGTGGGCTGACAGGCAGGGAAGTTTAATGACTGACAGTTGGAAAGGACCCAGGGACCTCTGTAGAGAGATTCCTGATTTCTTCACAATCTCGGAGTAATTTTCCCCTTTGCCATGCCCTTATGTTTGAAATCAGGGTATGAGAGTAAGGTGTGTCGGGTGCCAGCCTGGATAACACTCAACTGTAAACTGGCTCTTCGGACATTGTTGAACGCTCTCCTGCCATGCAGCAGGGCAGAAATAACTTGCAGGCACACAGCACCGATGTCCAAAAGAAAAGCCACACAGGGACATCTAGTGGCAATGGGAGATCCCGGAAATGCACCCGTGGAGCCCAAGAATTTCCAAACCACTAGCTGCTTGGGGGCTATACATTCATTTATTGAACTTCACCTCCTACCCTAACAAATCAGTCATTGCATTTGAAGGCAAGCAGAGGTCAGAAAGATTTGCAGCGCCTGAAACCTTCACCACTTGATAGACCACACCTAAAGAGTCACTGGATAGCCAAACAAAGCAAAGAGTGAAGACAGATTCTTCAGGCCAGTGTGCTGAGGAGAAAATCCGGATGGGAGACCCTCATTTTACAGATGATTACTTCCATACTCTCGTTCTAGTTGTCTGCAAAACAGACCTGACCCTTGAGAGGTTGAAAAGATGCAAAGCTTCAAAATAAAGTGAATACATTAAAAACAGTCCTCCAAACTTGCTGATCTATAAATTAGCATCAGCAGAACTCTTAATGAGAGTCACTTGTGAGCTTCATGGCAAGATGACAAAGCCAAATCAAAACCAGCCACCCAGACTGATAAAACAAAGCCCTCAGAAGAGGCAGGCTTCTCCTGGCCTTTGATGGTAGGACTGAAGCTGAAATAGATACAGTTGCATCAGAAATTCATTGTCAAAAGCTGACTTTTTCACAGGCAGACAGATGTGCAAATAAATTAAATTAGATCTAAATTAAATGATAAAAATCACAGTGGATTGTATTATGACAAAACTATTCGAAATCTGTAAGCACTGATCTTTTTTTGCCTCTTCTATGTGTAGCAAGGTCAATTTTACATACTATGTGCACCCTAGTACAGCTTTTCAAAAAGTATCTACTTGATGTAATTTCAAAGTCCTCAGTTCCACCCACCTACACCCCCATCATCTAATGACAAGAAAAGTCT